ATGCCTACTTGTGTATTATTGGTGGCATGGGGTTGAACAGAGACAGCGATTACGTTACTTGTATATCTCCAGTGGTGCTTGTTAGTCTAGTGTTGTCAAGTTATTTGAGGTATGTGAAGGAAACAGCCCGGGTACACTTAGACCTTTAAATGAAATGTTAGCTATGCAATCGAGTAGGAATATGTACAATACAGTAATTGGAACTAGCATAGCATTATTAAAAAGGAGTCAAACAAAAACAGATTTATTATTTATTGTATTTATATCAACTTTGTCTTAATTTAGGATGGAATGCTCAAGGCTAGCAATTGGTATTCAGATTGGTTCAAATTAAAATACAAAATTACAAAAAAAAAAAAATTTATTTCTGCTGTTTTTTATTTGTCTATTTTATGAAAATTTCTGGGTGCTTTTAATACAGTATTTCTGTCATTCTTTTTTCTTTTCTTTTTTTTATTCAATATTTTACACGGAGGCTCCTCACAAGGAACTGCTTTACCATCGAAAAGCCTCCAAACATATTTATCTGCAGTGTGTTGGTGTAGAAGTTTCTAAAAAAAATATCGCAACAAGAAAATTAAATAAAATATATAATAAAAATTATCAACAATATATATAATAAAATACATAACGTAACCTGCAAATCTTTTAGATTTTGTTAAAAATTGTTGAACATAACTAAATAAAGATGTATTCTGTTTAAAAGTTGGCCATGTTGATCCAAAAATAAATCACATACACGTTTAAAATTAAAAGATAAAGAAGAATCATTGGCTAAAACATTGTGTCGCGACACTGGTGGGCAGTTCTTTTCTTTCTGTTTGAAACAGAAGGAAAAGAACTGCTCACAAAATTTCATAAATTCTAACTTAACCTGACCACAACATTCAAAAGGTTTGTGAATGTTATAATGTTTTGTGTGCATTGGGAAGACAGTTAAATCAATTCAAAGGAAGAAAATTAATAATCAGTTCTTCATCCATCATGCTGCCAACTCCAAAATACCACTTCTTCCTATCTTTTTTCTACCTACTTTCAAAAGGGCAAAAGTTGGTGTGAACATTCACTAATTTGACTGTAAACTGCTATTTACTCGCATTGTAATGTTTTGCTTAGAACAGGGACTTTGTTATCTTTGTGACGTCAATGCCCTTTGATGAGAAATACTTAGTTAACTGCCAAGTAATTTATTAGCATTGCATGATACCTTCTCAAGTTGACAATCGGAGATTAATTTAGTCTTAGAAAACGTTAATGGATATTTTATTTAATATAGATATTGTAATAATAGCAAAATGGTACACTTAAGAAATAAAACGACAAATATTTAGTTTAAATAGTTTCAAAAGATAGTTCTGTACAAAATGAAATCAGATATTTTCAAAGTTTTATTGACTTTGCACAGAAATTCTATCTCATGAATGTTTTCTCCTTTTTCTTTATGCTTACAACTTTGTAAATGTTAATTTAATATTTACAGTTTTGTAGTGGAATTAATTTTCTTGGCACCAGTTTGGTGGGCCCATTAATATAAGATTTTAACTATCTGTTATCTACCAAGTTAATGACCTCCTTGTCCATGAAGAAAAGTTTTTGATTAGTAATTTATGAGTGAGTAGGAGTAGGAAGGTCTTACTGCCTGTTTTATCATTTGCTGTAGAGTTTATTGAAATTGATTTTGGCAGAAAAATCACTTCAACTTTAATTATGAGGAAAGGCGCAGTGTTTATTTGATTTTATGACCAGATTTAAAGGGACAACTCAAGATCTGCCTTCAATAGCAGGGCTTGAAAAAGTGCAAACGGCAGTTGGAGGCATCATTAACTTTTGGGGGGGGGATTTTTAAAAATGAACTATTGAGCAATATAGTGCACAGATAACATTTGGTGCTAGAGGTATTTTATCAAGACAGAGGCAAAAATTTTTTTTTTTTCTAGGCCTGTTTATAAGTTCTAATTGGTTGTTCATTCCAGTTGTTGGGTCAGAAATTTCCTGGAAATGGGAGAAGGGGGCCAAGTGGATGTGGGTAGGGCCGTTCAAAGCCCCTCAGGAGGAGGTCCGGGTCGAAACCTCTGACAGCATCAGGGATTTGAAATGCTTAGTTAAATGTAATTATAGTCTGTAAAAATTACATTGAATATTTTCCTCCCCAGCAGGTGCTCTTCCCTCAGTTCCCACTACTGCCATCACTTATTCATTCTACTATGGCTTCCTAATATTTTTTACAATTTTATTTCTTTGAGGCACATGGCCAAGTATTACCAATAGGAACTTAATCACTGTTCTATTAGATAGGTGGCAATCCATTCACATGACAAATATATATCACTTGATGCTCTACTCAAACTTGTGTAATTGTAATACGGAGTGGAGTTGTTTTGTGATGAGAAAAAATCCTGGGATTTGAACGGATTTGAACCCAGGACTCTGTGATTGGAAGGCAAGCGTATTCAACTCCACTCCAAAGCTATTCAACTGCACTCCACATTTGCTTTGTAAAATTTTATATTATTTATATAAGTCTACTAATATTTATATACTGATATGTTTGACATTTTGATTCAATATTTTGATATTTTATCAGACTTTGCTTCACTGGGGCGGATCCAGAGATATTCAGATGAGGGGGTGGGGGGGCCGAAATATGGGCTGACTGAGACAACACTACCGTCTGGGAGCATTCCCCCACGATAATTTTGTTTTCTAGATGCCTGAAAATAACCTGAGGTGTTTGGGTGATCAATTATTTAAAAAAAAAAAAATTCCAAAATGGAGACCCCACCCCCCCCCCCCCCAAAAAAAAAAAAAAAAAAAAAAAAATCCGCTTGTGCTTCATACTATCTTATGATAAGCAATAAAACATACATGTTCTGAAATGTTTAGTTTGATATGTTTATAGAAAGGTGAAATCTAGGGCTCAAAATTCAAGGATCACCTGACCTTTTGCTACCTTGATGGTGGGCCTTACAAAATGTTCACCTCAAACATGGAATTTGGAATAATACTTGGCTAATTGATCAGATAAGGGATCCTATATAATATGTGACAGATTTTAGTAGGGAGTGAGTATGCTGCAATACCTTGATAACTGTGGACATAGGATTTAAACATTTTATTTCATTGTAAGTTGTTCAATCTTTCGTTTTCATTTCTGTTATTTATATCTATGGATTCGATTTTTGATTTTCTAATAAACAAATAAAATTACTATACAGTATTTCAAATAATTTATTCAAACATAACCTCCAGGAACTAAAAGAATACATACACAAAATTTAGACAGGAATAAAAAATATGCAAAGAATTTTAAATCAAGGTTTTTGTTGTTTAATACAAGTTTTCGTATCTTTAGACTGTCACATATACCGTGGTTAAAGTTAGGCTTCGGAGGAAAAAAAATCGTATATGTTGTACAATTGTTAAGACACAAAACGCAAAATTTGATAAAAAAAAAAACAACTTGGTGAACGGTTAATGAGAGACAGATATTTGAATATTTAAAAACGGGAGAAAAAAAGGGGTGTAACCAGTCTGTTTTCCACCTTCACCCCCCCCCCCTCCCCACCCTTAACATACTGTATATTTTATTTGTTTTTCTTTCCATCTAGTGAAACTTCGTTTTTATGTACGATATGGGACCAGATCTGTCTCTTATACACATCTAGATGGGTATAAGAGACAGATCTTATGATAAGCAATAAAACATACATGTTCTGAAATGTTTAGTTTGATATGTTTATAGAAAGGTGAAATCTAGGGCTCAAAATTCAAGGATCACCTGACCTTTTGCTACCTTGATGGTGGGCCTTACAAAATGTTCACCTCAAACATGGAATTTGGAATAATACTTGGCTAATTGATCAGATAAGAGATCCTATATAATATGTGACAGATTTTAGTAGGGAGTGAGTATGCTGCAATACCTTGATAACTGTGGACATAGGATTTAAACATTTTATTTCATTGTAAGTTGTTCAATCTTTCGTTTTCATTTCTGTTATTTATTTTTATGGATTCGATTTTTGATTTTCTAATAAAGAAATAAAATTACTGTACAGTATTTCAAATAATTTATTCAAACATAACCACCAGGAACTAAAAGAATACATACACAAAATTTAGACAGGAATAAAAAATATGCAAAGAATTTTAAATCAAGGTTTTTGTTGTTTAATACAAGTTTTCGTATCTTTAGACTGTCACATATACCGTGGTTAAAGTTAGGCTTCGGAGGAAAAAAAATCGTATATGTTGTACAACTGTTAAGACACAAAACGCAAAATTTGATATAAAAAAAACAACTTGGTGAACGGTTAATGAGAGACAGATATTTGAATATTTAAAAACGGGAGAAAAAAAGGGGTGTAACCAGTCTGTTTTCCACCTTCACCCCCCCTCCCCACCAGTTTTTAGATATTCAAAAATCTGTATCTCATTAATCATTACCGAGTGTTTTATCAAATATGCTTTTTGTGTCTTAGAAAAATTAGTTGTACTACATATCAAAATTCGTTCTCTTCATTCAGAGCCTGGCTTTATTAATACAATTACTTTTCTTAAAAGATGACTTCAATATTGCCTTTTTCATTTTTCATATTTGTACACTCATATTCTGTATGAATTGGTTCATTTGGAGTTTTTTTTTCTTGAGGTGATACTTTATATATTCTTGAGATTTGTTGAATCATTGTTATTCTAATCTTAAAATTGACAACTTATGTTCTGATTGTGAAGTCATTACTGTAACTTAAATTTGTTTAAGGAAATTGTAAGTGGGTGTTGTTGATAACAAATTTACCAAAAGAGCCTTGCTTTCCAAGTAATCAGAGCTGTCATTCAAGCTTCATTATACCATCAATGATAAAATTTAAAAGGACCTGACAACAACAGTTTTGTTTTGTTCCTTATGCCTGTTGCCTGTAAGCCACACCTCTACATTTCTACTGTGTCTTGTTAATTCTGGATATTTGTAGTAATAAGTATATGCCATTTCATTGCAGAGAGAATTGACATCAAAAAGTGAAATAGTTGAAGTTAATACTTTTGACAACAGCATCAATAAGAGTGATAGCAACATGGCACCTGATATAGAGCACATGGAAGATGCAAACGAGCTAGAAAAAATGGTGAGAAATATCCTTGTGATCATAATTTGATTTTGTGATCTTATGAATGTGATCGGTTCGGTGTGATAATGTGATCATGTGATTGTTATGTTCATGAGATCTTGTGAGAGTTGCAGTCTTGTGGTCATTTGATCTCATGTGATGTGCTCATATATGATCATGTGAGCTAAGTAGCATGTGATCTTGAGAAAATATGATCTTGGCATGTAATATTTTGCATGATGATGTATGTTTTATTGGTATTTTGTTACCAAATGGAAATTATAAAACATTTTTAAAATAAATAAATAAGTAATGAATTTTCTTGATTAGATGTCTGTGAGAGTTTCTCTGTAATGAGTGGATTGTTTATAAATATGAGTATTATAAGAATTATTATATGAAGATGTGTAGAGTGGGAATAGTGTCTATAAGGATTATTGTGGAATACCTAGAAGAATAAGTAAATATATGATTGAATAAAATAATTATAAATAAGGATGAGGAATGTCTATAATGATAAGTAGAATTTTCAATAAGGAGTGGAATGAGTAGTGTTATTTGTGTTCATTTATAAAGTCTGGGTATGCATACAGACTATATCAGAATGAGTACATTGGAAGTTCTGTAAGGAAGAGAAGTGTAAATGGAGGGTCTATATGGATTAGTAGAAAGTATGAATGATGAGTCTTAAATTCATATTTTCGGGGCAGTTTCTTTTCATATCCTGTTCTGAAATATCAATGCAAAAGTATACTGGATAAGATTGCAAACTTAGGTAGTAACGGGAGCTTCACTAACTAACCTAATTACTGAGCAGAAACCATATACAGCTGAATATAAATAGACCAGAAGCCCCTATTAAAGGAATCTCTTTGCTATTCCCTCAATTTGATATATTTAAGGATAAATTCATAGAATGCAACTTAAGAAAATGGATGGAATTCTGCAGAAATACCTGGCAACCATTACTTAAAACTGTAATTGTTGAGAGATTAGTAAAAAAATATATAGAAATGTATTTTGGTACATAAATGTGAAATTAATAGATAATAATTTATATTTGGAACATTAACAGGATGTTAGTGAGAACTGTTAGGTATGTAAAATTGTGTAGTGCTATAGCACCAATAGATCGTGAGAACACCTGATTTAATTATGTTAATTACCTAATTTGCATGGTAGCATGTGCATGAATCTTTTCATTTGTCTTTCAAAGTTGGAAGTAGAGACGGTATTTGAAGAAAGGAAAAGAATCCGAGCGAGGTTGAGAGAATTACGCAGGCTAAACAAAGGTAACTGTCTTACAAATTATCTTTAAAAACAGCACATTAAAACTTATACAGGGTTAGTTCAGCTAATTAATAAACAATTTAACATTATATATGATCATTATCATTATATTATATAATTTATGAAAATAATTTAATATTCCATCAGATCTGCTTTGATTGATATTTTTCTGTAAATTTAAACTTTCCAGTGTTTATTATATTAATCATATATTATTCATATACTATATTCATTACAAATCAAATTTTCACCTTAATTATCTTCCTTGAAAAATATAACAGCCAAAATGTGTATTAAAAAATAATTCACTTAAATTTACAAAAATTTCAAATCTATTTGTTTTTATTTGGTGATGATGCATCATTATATTCATTGCAACTAGGCCTATAAAAGTTTTCATTATAACTATTGAATTTATTATGATATTTCTGAGTGAGAGCTACTATAAACACATCTTGTGCATCATTAACATGCAGTTATTACCCACAATTCATTGGTGTTCAATTTAGTAGATCTCAGCCGACCTTTGTAAATGTCAGTCGACCTGCTTGCCACCTGACCTACTTCTTTATCTGACACATCAGCCTCCATCTGTTTGCTTTCTCTGTTACTTATTCGCTCACTTTAATCATATTTTGCCTAGTCTCTAGAGCCTGTTCTACCAATGACAAGAAGCTTTTTTTTTTATGTTGTGTAACAAAATTTTGCAAAAAGAATGACGATCATTTTTGAAACAGACAGCATGTTCTAATCCTATAGACAAATTCAAGAAGAATGGCGCCCTCATTTGTCGACGCCATTACTGGGGAGTCCTACTTCTAGGCCTACTCCTAAAATGTTAATTCGGTGTGGTTATAAACACAGTACCATTGAGAAATCCAGCTTTTTATTTTGCAGCTGAATAGCCATCAGTCTTCAAACTAAAAGTTTATCTAACTTATGTATATTTCGTGTATTTAGACATCTTCCGACTTCGGAAATGCCACCCCAGTAATGGCGTCGACAAAAGAGGGCGATGTTCAAAAAAGTTCTTGGATTCGTCTATACAGAAATTTATTATAGGAGTAGGCAATTTCCCAATAACTGCATGCCCATTTCAAAACAAGTGTTTGATTTTTTTCTGAATAATTGTCAAAATCACCCGATTTTTATTAAATCATACGCGAGGCTTTTGCACAGGGAAATGCTAGTGTGTGAAATTCAGTGGCGTATCAGGGTTGGGGAGGGGTCACGCCTTTACAAAAAGTATACTCATGCCTTACGAGTCGGCCTCCTCCCCACTCCCCAAAAAAAGAAAAAAAAATATCATGCTCAAGTAATTAAAATTCTAAATCTAAAATCACCTTATTTTGCGAGCTAGCTTCCCCTTACCTAATCATCGAGGGCCCCACTTCTCTTCACATCCCCATTAGTCCACCCTCCTGTCGCCCATTTCAAGACTCCTAGATAAGTGGATGTAAAGAGGGAAGTGGGCTCATGCCTGAGGTGGGCTTACACCCAAAGAAATACTGTGCAATAAACACAAGAATCATGAAGTTGTTGAAAGATGAGCATAGTAATTACTGTACAGTACATCTCTACTCGTTTTTACCAATTTCTCAGCTAGTCTTTATGATCACCCATAGAATTTATGGGCAATTTCTTGGAAAGAGTGGCTAGAATGTTTCTAGGATGTTTGTACCACTACAAATAAGATAAATGGATTCAATTGCTAACCAGCTGTTATTCAAGATCATTGAACATAATTTGACAAGTTCATTTGTATATTTAGCCACTGTGCATCATCAGTATGATCAAAACATTGTTAATAACATTACCAACAGTGGCGTATCTGGGAATATTGAATTAGAAATTAGGGCATGAAGGTGAAGTTAGGGGCTTGATGAAAGGTGGGAGGCGTTAGCTCACTAAATAAGATGATTTGGGGTGATTTTTAACTACTAGAGCATGATTTTTTTTGGGGGGGGTGACTGGGGGGCATGGGGTATGCACCCCTGCTCCCATGCATCCCCTCATACACCACTGATTAACAATCACTGTGATCTTCCTATTTCACTATTTTTCCATCTCCTCATCTTCCCTGGAATCTACTCATCTTTCTCATTTTAGCACCTTTACCTTCATTATCTCAATCACCATCTTTAATTTCATCATCATTAGCTCTATCTTCAACCTCAGATCTCATATTGATGAACATTATAATAACACAAAAGTTATAAATTAATTCTTTACATAGATGTTACATTTTGGAAGCAAAAAAATATATATAACATTTTAATGTCAAACATTGAAGACCCACATTAAGTAAAATGTCATCGAAAGATATTTACCATTCTCACCAAGTGCTGTTTATTTGATGGGAACAGGTGACATGTCAACACATGGATACACACCTGCCTCCCTAATAACATTCAAGTCAAAAGAACTAATAGTACAGCCGCCTTAATTTAGCTATTAATATCCACCACCCACCATTTCATTTCACTTGTGTCCGTAATTAAAATGAGGATAAATTTCCTTAATTAAATATTAATTATTTTTATCTTATACAATCTCTATCATCATTATATCTATGTCTATCACAAACCCTAACATTATTATCAAATCCTATTGTCATTATTGTAATATTTGAGCGGCTCGGACCAAACCAGCTGTTTGTAGGAAAAATTCCTAGTTTTTGGTATTTTTAGTTTCTGCATGAATTCTTCTTTAAAACAGTGTTTATTTGATAGAAATCAGTTGGATATTAATAATAATTTTAGTATTAGCAAATTTTCTTTTTTAAAGGGGATGTTATATATATTTGTATCCATAATTATGTCTTGACATTTAAATATAAATACAACAAAAATGCTAAAAGTAAAAAAAAAACCCTGCCTTCACTTTGTGTTTATTTTAATCGGTTTCATTTTGTTTAAGACAGTATGCTTGCCACTGTTATTTTTTTTTTTAGTGTGTACAGTTTAACTGTCAATCAATCAACAAATCTGTGTATGCCAATGGGTGGATGTGCTGGTTTACAAATTAACTATGAAAAAAAAAAAATTTTATAAATTTAATAATACTCTTCTATTTGTATTGTCTATTTCTGATGTATATTGTTTATTTTAATGCATTCAGATAAACGAAATACATCATATTTTTATAATTTATATTGCTTTCACATTATAATTTTATATTTGTAATTTTTTTTTTTTTTTAAGTGTTCATTTTTGCTTGAATTAAATATTCTTATGCCACTGTACCAAACATTTTTTGATAAATTGAAATGAATTGCTCATCGTAGCAGTTCTGAATAATTTTTTTCAAAGTGTACATGGCAAGTGATACTCAGCCAATAAAATGTAGTTGTTAGATAGGATATTAGAAGAAATGCCACTACTAATGTTTTGATAAATTGTAACTTGTTTTTTTAATAAAATTGTTCATTTTTAATTTGTTGATATAACTTCTCTGAAACTACTAAAAAAGCAATACAGTACAAAATTTAGTTTAATTTTTCAAGGTTTTCTTAGTTACCAATGGACAATAACCCTTAATGTTATATAAATTCAAATGTAATATTCTCTTTTAGTATTGATTGTAGAATTCTTAATTTAAAACAGACATACTATTTCATTCACTTGCTTTTAAATTAAGAATTCTACAATCAATCCTACATTAAAAGCTTAATGAATTATTCAAAGATTCTCTTTTAGATTTTACACAGTGATGATGGTGGATGTGCTATTATTTGTTGTGAAATTATTGCATTCAGTGGAAATGACAAAATAATATGTAAAATAATAAAATAGTCATAAATATAGCAAAAAGGCTAGACATAGAGTAATGGGAAAAGTAGAGCCTTTTAGTGTAGAGTTAGCTCCAGAGAATGAAACAATGAAAATGACAAATCATTTATGTGCTTGTTATTGACATCATGTGTTGTTTTTGTTTTTGAATTTTGTACATTAACTGACTGTGCAGCCATCAATTTGTCTGGATGGCAATTTGCATGATAATTTTTTTTGGCAATGGCATGTTGGCATTCTTATAATGCATCTTAGCAATGAATGATAAATGAATGCATGGTCATTACAAGCTTGTCAAAGATACGGACACTAATTGCGGTCGTTCATTAGTGTAGAAATAGCGCATATGTGTTGATGACAAGTGTGACCATAATGTCACTGATGAAGATAATGATGACGCTGTGAGGCCAAAAAGAAACTTAACTAATCTCAAGTGACCCAAAATCACAAAATTCTAAGGTGTTTTTTAGGTTGTTTTTTTTTTGTAATATTTTTTTTACTAAAGATGAGCCCAAAATACTTCATAATTGAAAATGTCACTTTTTAAACTATAATTAATTAATGAGGATGATTAAGATTAAAATAATAATGACGATGATGCCAATAATAACAATAATGATGATGCCATTAATAACAATAATGATGCCAAAATAAGAATGATGCTAACAAGAACAATGATGGCAACAATAATGATGATGCCAAAAATAATGATGACGCCAACAATAATGATGGCACAAACATTAATGATAATGCCAACAATAAGGCCAAAAAAAATAATTGTTGTGTTTCCCTTAAATGGAAAAAGTTGATTTTTGACGAATAAGTAAGTGTACATTGAAATAAATTTTAACAAAAATAAATCAGTTTAAATAAAGATTTATTTGGCTTCGAAATATAAAGTAATGTGTGTATCTTATCCACACGATCACACACTGGCAGGTCGTACAAAACCATAATATGGCTATGAAAAATACCCAAAGAAGCATTCTAAATGTTAATTTAGATAGTGGTATTTCTCGATTATGCACTTGAATGAAATGAAGACCTTTGTACAAAATTTAAAAATTAAAAAAAAAAATGCAGATCCAAATTTTTGGAAAATTTCGGTAGGTCGCGGAGGGCAACACAACATTTTTTTTTGGCCTAATGATAGTGATGATACTTATTATCAAATTTTAATAACCATTACCTTTTATAGTCGAAAAAACACGAAAAAGTAATCTTTACAGTTCTAATCGCTTATGCTTGGATATTCATTGTTTTGTATTCCCACCCTTAATAACTATGAAACAAAAACAAATTTTCTTTATTTTATCACAGATGTTACTGTCCAGCCTCCTACTGACAGGGAGACACGACGTCGGAAGAGACAGGAAGCAATTAACAATTCGCAAAGTGCCTCCACAGACGACAAAAATAATAACATTAATGAAAAGACAACAGCACCAAAAAAAATACCACCTACGATAAAATCGCCATCTACTCCAGTAGACAACAAACCACCACAATCTACGATAACACCATCCACTCCTGTCGACAACAAACCACCGCAATCTACGAAAACACCATCCACTCCCGTCGACAAAAACCATAATGATAGTGATGATACTTATTATCAAATTTTAATAACCATTACCTTTTATAGTCGAAAAAACACGAAAAAGTAATCTTTACAGTTCTGATCGCTTATGCTTGGAAATTCATTGTTTTGTATTCCCACCCTTAATAACTATGAAACAAAAACAAATTTTCTTTATTTTATCACAGATGTTACTGTCCAGCCTCCTACTGACAGGGAGACACGACGTCGGAAGAGACAGGAAGCAATTAACAATTCGCAAAGTGCCTCCACAGACGACAAAAATAATAACATTAATGAAAAGACAACAGCACCAAAAAAAATACCACCTACGATAAAATCGCCATCTACTCCAGTAGACAACAAACCACCACAATCTACGATAACACCATCCACTCCTGTCGACAACAAACCACCGCAATCTACGAAAACACCATCCACTCCCGTCGACAACAAACCTCCGCTATCACCAAATAACAATTCCACCGCTTTAACTAATAAAACGACGGAAACAAAAACTTCAAAAGATAATCGAGAACAGGAGAAGTCAGTGATAACAGATGATGGGAAGACAAAGACTATTACCAATGTAAAGAAGACAGATAAAGATGGATTTCAAAGCGTCACTAAATTAACCATTTCAAAATCTGTTGGTAAGAATGAGAATGAACAGACAATATTCTGCTAATATGCACAGTGGAACCATCCAATAAGGTTACCACTTATTATATCTATCTATCTTTTTATTTTAATATTTGCGTATAGTTAAAGGGATGTGAATAAATATGCAAAATGATGTACTGTTGATGTGTCATGTTTCTTCATTATTATTTATTCATCATAATTTGATATGCTATTTGTTATTTATGTTTTCTGTAAATTTCACAGATGGTAACAAAAAGAGTGAAACAGAAACTAAAGAAGAAATTGTTCGCCAAGATGGTAAGATAGGTTTGAATTCATAATGATTCATATATACCCAATATTCGCTTATATATTTATATTTATGTATATTAATTTTAAATAGAAAGACTTATTTAATTATTATTGGCACAGTGGTAAGGTTTTAGGCCTTCATTTGAATTGTGATTTCAAAGTCAGACAGTGGTCAATTTGCTTGTACCTTTGCTCTCCATCCATGATTGTTATTATAATAAATAATACCTTACAAAATCAGTAGTGGCCTGGGGATGTACATTCGTGTAGTGGAGTGAATCTGTTAGAAGTGTCACAAATTCAGGTGGAGACAGAGTCCAAAAACAAAGCCCAGATCAGGGTGAAGAGAGCTAGATCTCTAGTACCAGAGAAACTAGACAATTTTGGGTCATTTCAAGCTGTTCCAAGACATTCCAATTTCCATCATTTTTTTGTGGCCAGCAAGTGACTTGACCTGTCCCCCTCTACTGGTGGCATCATTTGGTATGATTTGGAAGAGATTGGTTTGGTGCTATTATCTACACAAGTAAATACTTGTGAGCAGCAGATGTTGCATATTGTATAAAAGTATATCAGCCTCTAATAGCTTCTTGGATAGCTTCTGAAGCTCTGGATTGTTGTTGATTTTGATACTGTTGTTGTTGCTGCTGCTGTTATTAATGTTATAAATGTTTTTATTATTATTATTATTATTAGAATTATTATTATTATTATTAGAATTATTATTATTATTTATATTGTTACTGTTAATATTATTATTTTTATTGTTAGTAAGTTTTATTGTGATTGCTGTTATTGTTAGAATAAATATATTTATCGAAAGGTCCACTGATTAATCTCAGATAAGATCCTGATGATGACATAATTAATGTCGAAATATTGAATCCCAACACGATGGCGTGTATTTCAATACTTGGAGTATGTTTAATACTTTCTTAAATATATTTATCTCGTACTATAATTTTTGATTGTAGGGCCATGCGGATTTTCATATTCAAAGAAGTCAACCACTGTATCATCCTCCTCATCCTCATCATCCAATGTACCTGAATCTCGCCTTTTGACATCAAAGAAAAGTATGTATCCATATTTTATATAGTGTAATGTATTATAGGTGTAAATATTTTTAATAGTTATACAAAAATTTACAAACCTCCAATTGAAATTTGAATGAGAAAATAGTTGAAATTTCAGATTTTCATCACTACTTTCTTAACAATACATAGTTAATACCAGCCCTTGTTTATAATTTAAACAGACCTTTAAATTAGCTGGTAATATTTTTTAAAATTTTTGTATTAAGAGTTTTGTAATTGAGCTTTCTGCTTAGACCCACCGCTTATATGATAGCTAAAATTCCACAAAAACAGCATAAACGTTGTTGAACAATTTCATAGAACAGGCATGTAATGTTAACCATGTTCTGTTGGTTAGTTAAGTGTGATTAATAATTCAGAAAGTTCCCTCGAGCGAAACTAAATTCGTTTCATCTGAGTCTAATTTTAAGTTAACTTATTTGATTCAAAATTATATTTCATCAGAATATTTTATTATAGTTTTTTAATTTATAACTTTCGGATTTATTGGTAGTTTCTAAATTTTATGGAAAAAAATAATTCTAAATATTAAAATAAAAAATAATAGAGAAAGTGGTTGTGGGCAACATTCTTAAATTTAAAATAAAACAAACACAGTCCATGAATATAATATCCTTTAAATATCTATATGGATTTATTTTTATACTATTTAATGAATTAATGCATATAACAAATTTTGAACATTGCAAGTTGATGTATAAAACGCTGAAATTCATAAATTTAAAAGTAACTAATTTTAATATTTAATTCTATGAAATACTAAATGTTTTGTTTTTTTCTTTGTGCAGTTTTATTTGGTGACTTTCTGTATCGTTGGAGTATTGTTTTTTTTTTTTTTTATAGTATATTTAAATTTGTTTCCATTTTGCCATTTTCTCATCTACAAATAATTCTTAATTTCAGTGTCAAAGTTCGATGAAGAACTTGCACAGAAGAAAAAAGAAAGGGAAGAGCAACGAGCAGCAGATGCAATCAAGTGGAAAGAACAGCAAGCTGCAAGGTATACAAACATACATGTTCATCAGTTATGTTGAAATTTGAAGGTTATATATCTGTAATGGGCAAAATACTGCAATTTAAATAAAGCCTTAAAAGCACTGTGGGATTAAAATGTACTGTGTAGTGTGTATTCATTGATGATAATAAAATTTGTCGTATATAGTGCATCATACCAAACACTAATAATGAGCAATTAGTAGAGGTGCATATCATACACTAGTGGAAATTTATTACAAGAAAGTTAAATTAATGCTTGAAAAAAAAAATCCTGAGGGCCTGCAAGATCTTTAGGATTTTTTTTAAATGCATTAATTGCCTGTCTAACCTAAGTATATTAAATGTCCACTAGTGTATAGAGAAGAACTCTCTGCAGGTGAACATCTTAGTGCTAAAGTGTAAAAACACTGAAGTTGTTTCCACCTTTTGCAACGAGCCAAAAAAGATCAAGCAAACTGCACTAATGACAAATTAGTGCACTGGGGAATAGGACATTAGCAGTTACAGTGATGATGTAATGATTGACTTATAATAATTAGTAATTGATAATTGGTTTATTACTAATTATGTTACTACCTGTGATTATTCAATTGTAGCCTCTCAAAACAATTTAACTTTTAAAACAATAGTTAAAAAGTATATGATGTAACCAATGGAAAACAGGTAAACAGAATACATATTTGTATTGTGATTTACATTTTGCCAAATATTTCTACTTTAAACAAATTTTGTTCGAATTCATTTATTCATTCAGGAACGAACGACTAAAGCAGCAGAGGATTGCCGATCAAAGAGCGGCAAAGGACAAGAAGGCTAACATTATGCAGATGTTTGGAGGCAAAGCACAAAGTGGCGGTGGTGGCTCAGGTGGCGCTCCACGGATGATGGTTCAGAACGCTAACTCTATCAAAGCCAAGTTACTTGAATGGTGCAAAAGAACCACTTCGGAATATCCAGTACGATATTTTATTTAATTTTTGTTTTGTTTTTCATTCTTTATATCACATTACTACAGAACAGGGGAAAATTTAGTGGGGGGAGGGGCTGGCCTGGCCCGGCCCCGCCCCGTCCCCCTTTTGGGAGGTGAAAAAGAAAAAAATGATAGGCCACAATGCCTCAAATGTTGTTTTTGGGCAACACACGAGCATGCCCCCAGACCCCCTGGGGCATTGTTGTCTCGATCGGCCCAAATTTCGCCCCCCCCCCCCTTTTGGACATCTGGATCTGCCCCTGCAAGCTTTACTCTGGGGAGATGTTTTTGATTTATTGTAACGTATTGGTATTGGTATGTATTGGTAACGATATTATAAGTTAGACTACATTATGTACATAATTATTATTACTCATTTTGTTGTGTATTTTATTTTAGAATGTGAAGATCGAAAACTTTTCACGCAGCTGGAATAACGGGATGGCATTCTGTGCTATAGTGCACCACTATTTTCCTGGAGCATTCAACTTTGATGAACTCAACCCAAAAAACAGGAGACACAACTTTGACCTGGCATTCACAACTGCTGAGTAAGCTTTCACTGAACTCATTCTGGAACTTAGGTTTAGGGCAAGCACCTCATCCAGCAAATTTCGGAGTGAGTGGCCACAGCTCCAGAGATTTGCTGACAGGGTTCCAACACGTGTACTGCCTAGATCCTTGTCAGGTCCCAGGATAAAATCCCTAGTGAAGTTCATGGGGAATTATTTTACATTGTAGTTCAGTTATGGTTTCCTTGTGCAGGTGCCTAGCTTCAACCTCTGAGGTTACTTGATCAAAGCATCCTTTGTTCTCTTAAATAAATTCAACTTCCTTATTTTAAGCCTCATATGAGACTCAGATGTTAATTCTATAATTAGTGAGTAGGTTTTTCCCATTTTTGGTGAAAGCAGAAACAACAATATATGATATTTTGATTTCTACAAATTGATTTTGATTGTAAACATTACTACTCACAACAGTTTTATCTGACGTACATCAAAATATAATGATCTGTTTATATTACAATATGTTTCAAGCTGATAGCTCTTTATGTTTTTATGTAAAATTTTATACGTAAAAAAATCTATATATTAAAATATAAAATAATAGAAAAGAAAGGTTTGTGGGCAGCATGATTCTTAATTTACAATAAAATGATCATAGTCTGTGAATATATTATACTTTATATGTCTAGATAGATAAATAGTTTGGGTTTATACACTTTTATGGTTCTATTGCAACCCTGTATTTTGTTCTTTTTATACACTGTTAGGTGTTAAAATAAATAAATAAATAAATAAAAGAATATATGAAAATATGGTGAAAATTGTTTGTGTTCATTGCAGATCACTGGCAAACATTATGCCTCTGCTGGACACTGATGACATGATAATGATGAAAGACACGCCGGATTGGAAGTGTGTTTTCACCTATGTGCAAAGTTTGTACCGGAATCTACAAGGCAAGCCAGTTAGCCCTTCGTGAGCATAGTTGGACGAGAAAATGATGAATCTAAATTTCAATTTTTGTTGTTACTCATCCAATTTAGACTAACAGCATGCTACCTCAAGTCCTACTTCATCCCCTGATGCATCAATCAACATCAACTTTGAGTCATCTTTGACATAGTGATCAGATATTTCTGTATTTTGAATTTTTTGTTAGCATTGTCATCTTCATCATCACTCTCGTCTTCATTATCAAAACATCATCTTCATCATCATTATTCTCATCATCATTATTACCACATCATCATTATTCTCATCTTCATTATCACATCATCATCATCATCATCATCATCATCATCATTCCCATCTCACCAATCTCTATATACTTGAGTACATACACTGTGCTAAGTTAATTGCGATTGTCTAACATGTACAAACAGCGCTCCCTAACAATTATCAATATGTATACCATAATTGCTATGATTATCTAAGACTACATACGATTATGAAGGGGTGTGTTTTTTTGTATACGTTTGTAAATATTAAAAGTGTTTTAGAACTTGTAGCAATAAAGAATGGGTGCTAAATCTTTGAAAAATGGAGCAGAAAAAGGTATGTTTATTCAGTTGTTTGACTGCAAGGTATGTTTGAATATGTTTTGTGCTACTTACACAATTGTGTGTGTGTATTTTGGATTGTTTTCTACAAATTAGATTTAGAATATGTTGTACATTATATATGTGATCTTGTAGTTGTTTGTAGTGAATTAAATTCACAAATCTTAGACCATTTTTACACGATATTGTTTGTGTTACGTATTTCTTTATTTAAAAAACTGAACCGAAATACAATATATTGTTTTATTATGAATTTTCGATTAATTTTTTAAAACATATACCTATGCAATTATTAATAAAGTTTATGAACAAAATACGTAACAATTTGCAATTAACCTAAACAAATCATGTTGAAACATTTGGTGCTATAATATGCTAATATTAACTTAATATTTAACATAAATTTTTGAAACTTGCTAATATCTATTTCAAAATATAATTACTATGATGTTGTCTACATAATTACAATATTCATTGTTTAAATAATATTTTAATTATTATTTTAATTGATATTTATTGTTTTATCAGGGTTTAAAGATTATTATTATTATTATGTATTTCCATTATTATTATTTCTAATAATACTATTATTTATTATTTTTATTATAGAAATCATGGCTAATGAAGTTAAGGGACTGTTTAATATGTTGTTTAAATTGATATATAATTTCAATTCCATAAACTTATTTGTTTTTATAAGAAGGTATAATATTTTTGTAGCTGGCTTATATATTGTAATCTTGTAACATAGATATATAAATAATGGAACAGTATTATATAGTGCTCTAATGTAAATAGTGTGCCAAATAGCTACAAAAGTAGAAAATAAAACTATACATAGAATCCTACTATATATTTAGCTATGTAAGTTGATAACGACAAAACAGTTCTTTTAAAGAAGTAATAGCCTAGGTTTATAATGAATAAGTAATGTTTATTACAAACACTGTTCTTGTATGATAAATTGTAATTTGTCAAAATTCTGCCTCGCTGAATAATTTAAACTTTACAAAAACTTCCCCCAGTTTTTTTTTAATTACTTTTGCTCATTTTTGTTTGCCAGTGCAGTTCATTGTGTCAATTAAATTTGGCCACCCTGCTGTACCTAATTTTATAGTGAATTTGCTTCTCTCCATGGTAAGACAGGTGGGTGCATACAAGAGGTTTTAGCCTAAAAGCCAAATACTCTGCTTCAGTGGTCACTATGGACTTAAGCTCAGGGCGGGTGGTGACAAATTCACAGGGATCAAAGTCTGCGTGACACTTTGTCTGTTGACATTCTACAAAATCTTTGAAATCATCAGCAATCATTTATATTTTACAGGATCAAAATATTTTAGGGTTTTTAAAAATTTGCCTGGATCCTTTGACACAAGAACATCTCAATATTTTTCATGAGGGTCTTTTAAAATATACCATAGACCTTGTAGTGCATCTGATTCACTCAAAATACATTTAGGTCGTCCAGTGTACACCAAATGTCACAGTTCATCAAAAACCATTAAATTGATGGGTCTGAAGTACAATTAAAGTCATTGTTCACCAATGTTCATTTATTTATTTTTTTAAGTGTAATAAGTCAACCTATTGTTTTTAGATAGGACTTGGAATGCTTTGAATGGCAAATATGGGGATTTTACATAAAGTAATAAAAAGGCTGTAAAATACTCAGACGCAATTTGTTTTTTTTTTCAGTAGCAAAGCATTGGGTTACATGAAGAGTCATTGCTTGGAAGAGGGATAATGTCCAACATTAAAAACAATCTGATGTTTAATTAATCATCATTACGATGTTATTAAACACCGATGAATAATATAGAAAATAATAGGCATATCATTTTTAAAAAGTGAATTGAATTATAACTGTTATTTGTTATTGTTTAGGTGTTTTGAAATAGGTTCCTTGAAAAATAACGCCTGGTTTTGTAACTGTCAATTGATGTGGTAGATTTGTTACCCAAATAAATACATCTGAGTAGTTTACATCGCCTTTAATTAACTAACTAGATGTACGGTTACGTAGTATTGTTGTCTATTCTTTGAGATTTTTTTTCAAATACTGTATGAAATGTGTATGGATTGAACACTGTATTGAAACACGAGTAATGTGATTGGAGTACTGATTATTGTACAGGGTTTTAACCCATCTAAATGACAATGTGTACACAAATACGTGTATGGTACTGTACCTGTAGTATACCACCATATACCCTACAGTGATGTCATTTGACAATGATACTTCATCATGCATTGTAGTTTTTGCTTATTAGTGCAATATTTGTACATTGATTTTAAACTTGCCGAAGTGTCAAGAGACAGGTAACCAATCAACTCGCTAGTAGTAGTCAAGTGATTTTAAAACAATTGTGATAGCAATGTTATTTGAATATGCATAGATTTATCATTAAATATTTTAGTACCTGAAGTAAGTTTGGTATGTATTTTGATAATTGCATTATAAGTTGTTTATTACATGAAAGTTAAATGTAATAGGAAGAATATTTCCGTGAGCTGGATGCAACATTCCACAACTTAATGAATGAAAATATTCTTTCCCTTGCATGCATGAATGAAAAATATTTGTTTTTTACTACCACACCAACAATAGATCCTTGTCATTTAATATTTTATGGAAAAAAATGAAGTTATGTAAATACCTAATGTCAGGTCATATTAAATGATGAGGATCTATTAAGGTGCGTTTTAATATGACTTAAACATGTTGATAGCGTCCTCTGGCACCAGTCATAGTGAATCATTCACATATATCATGGTTCCTATACTTTATACTATAGGATCCAGTTTTCAGTCGTTCAGCCGAGAGCATGTGTAGTTGTGCTCTCGACTCTCACTTCAGCAATTAATCGGGAATACGATCTTTTCGTTCTCCCATTGTGTAACCTGCATGTCTAAAATCCAAGTTGAGATTGGAAATCACACGCACAGCAGCAGCGGAGACAGGGGTCCAGCCAGCCATGGAGAGACCCTCCCCCCCAAAGTTTTCAAAATATAAAAAAATAATATATAAAGTGAAAGTCTGTGAGTGCCATTGCCGACCATTTAGAAGTACCATAATTATAAATTTTCTTACCTCTGCCCCAACCATGGTTGGGTTGGGCAGAGGTGGTAAAGACTCTCCATCTGTAAAAGTCCCTATTTCAAATTCCTGGATTCGCCATTACATAATGTAGTTTGGGGCCCGGTAGGCAGTTTGGTTCAGCATTTGTTAAACTTGCAGTCAGGAGATCAAACGACATGCTGACCAATTTCTGTTGGCCATGCTTAGATATCCCAGTTTGTATTGTTGACGAGCTGTGGATCACACTGTGTTTCAGCCCTAAAAGCAAGAATTTCATGGCAAAATATAATTATCGTTATTAATAATAACAAAAATAAAAGTAAAACACATGATTGTAACATTGGTGCGGAGATAAACCTCCACTGGTGATAAATTACTATGGTAAACCCATTTATACCAAGAAGTGGCTTTCAGGCCTTGTTTTGGGCTGAATTGTGTAAAAAGCAAAGAACTAAGTTAGGCTAAGTTCAACAGTTTTTTACACATAGGAAAGAGATTTTACTTGCATGGTTATATTCCATATCTCATATGGTATAATGTGTTAATATTGACAACATCTTTGATTGTATTGTACATATTAATTTATTTAAACACCATTATCTACACCTTTATCTACAGTACAAAATATAAGCATATACATATTACAATCAAATTTATCATATTTTACAAAATGATAATACAGGTAATACAATAAAACAATATAGCAACAATTTCATTATGCATCATGATATATAATTATATTATACAACAATTTATTACAAAATAGTAATGTTTTCATAGCCTTTTTATTAAGTACAGTACTGCCGATTGTATACATAATTTTAGTTAACGTTTCTGTAATAACAGTGCTGCTGAATGTTAGACGGAAGCATAGTTTGGTTCTCACATGCCTTAAAAAGTCGAAAGCATTGGTCATCATCTCGCAATCAATTTCTTTAAAAATATAGCTCACATTCTCCCAGTACGCACAACCGCTGATCATTGCTCGGTAACGATGCTCGCCGGTAACGATTAATTTTGTGTATTATTGACACCGGTTTCGACGTCAATGGGATCCTCACAGAGTGTACATTTGTTGCCAATTTGTTGTAAGCACTCCGCACAGTAAGCACCGCTACATCTTGAATTGTCACAAATATAAAATGAATCATTCTCTTCGCTTGCGCAGCCAAGACATGCGCGAGACTTATTTCGCAAGATTATGCGGCAGAAATTATTCTGTGCTGCCAACCAGGCACGGAAACTTATTCTCTCTACTTCTCTTTGCTCTCGGTGGTTGTCCTTTATCGTTTGTTCTAATATTGACCATAGTGTTCTTCGTTTTCTTAGTGTTTTATTGTAAAGGTAAATTGTACGGGCGTGTTCACGATCCGGGTAATAATATGCCGCAATCCAACGACGTAAGCGCAGGGCATATGCTTGGAAAAGAATAGTCAATATTATGAAAGCGTGCAACACACCTATGATGATGACGATCCTGTCATCTGGCTTTGTAGGTTGTGGTATGCACTTTTCTGCATCTGATGAAATTTGAAACGTGTTTGCATTCTGAGTACCTTCGCCGTATAGATTGCGAGCAAAATCGGCCATCAGACCAGTTCCCTCTATATTGTAGCTCAGATCTCCCCCTCCTGATGCATTGTAATCAATTTCACTATAGAGTTGTTGCATAACGAACAGTAACCAATAAAATCCATAGTCTACAAGGACGATAATGCCCGTCATAAGAACTTTCAAAAGCGCGGGTGCTAACCCGATTTTAAACTTCCCTTTCTCTGTATTGGAAAGGGCGAAAGATGTAACGTCAATTAATTTCTTCTTTTCGTATTTCTTAAGGGGTAGAAGAGGTTCATGTCTGTTTTTAATTCTGAACTTATCCAATTTCCTGAACTCCTTCGTAATGTAGAAATTATCGAACCTGTCTTTGGTGACGTAACTCGCATGATACCTATAGGATTGATAAAGTAGGTAGACAACTGAAAAAGCAACCAGACGATCCAAAATTAAGGTTATAATATCAAATGTTCCAAAAGTTTCCTCCAGTTTGTCGCTTATCTGCTTAGCTATGGCTTTCGGATCGCCTGTCAAATTTACCTTCGTTTCGTGCCAGTTTGGCACAAAATCTATATCTACGTTGAATTTATCCACTATATCATCCACAATTTCTGAGACATCTACTACTGCAGCTTCGACAATGTTGTCTCCTAATTCTGGTAAAAGACATATCTCACCACCAACACGAATGACTTCACAGAGACCCACAAGTTTCAGAGGTTCGCAGAGAGTGTCTACTACCTTTATGGCTGTGTCAGTCAAGTAGAAAAAAGAAAGAAATATGTTAATTGGAGAAATAAATATTTAGGCCTAACCTTTCTTGGGCATCTGTCAGTGTACATTATTTACAGCAGCAACCCTCAAGCTCAATTCTTAATTGCTATTGAACCATTCATTGTCTGTCATAAGTGTAGAGTAAATAAATAAGTAGAGTTCTTACGGTGTAAAGTAATTAAAAGTCAGGTTGATAAATACAAATTTCGTTATTTTTTTTTATAGTTTAAATTTTGAGAAATACAACCCAAATTATCATTTGAAGGAAGCTGTTATTTTATTTTACTATATTTTACTCTTTCATTTGCTTACAGTTGATCTGTTAACGATTGTCAATCGTTTTGTAATTGGGCTTTTAGAAAAAAAACTTCTAAATCTATCTTTGTAGTACCACAACGGGTAAAAGTCTTGGTTACACTGCAGCGTAAAATTACTAATAAATATTATAGCTTTTGTCAAAGAATTGATGCCCTCTAACCATTCTGGCAGTCGGTGTAAACTTTCTCTAGTTTCACTGTACAATCGGTGTACGCTTCCCTCATCACTGTGTTACACGTGTCGGCAGAATTTTTCAAAAACTTTCCTGTATCCTATAGTAGTAGAAATTTACATGGATATGAACATATGATATTACTTCGCACTGATCAATGTGTATCTAACAACAAGTCTAGGGGTGGCATTAAGGAGGAGGTGGGCTCCGTTATGGAAGTCGGGACATCAAAGCTTCTGTTTGGAAAGTCCTGGTGCCACCACCACTAAACGAGTCAAATTCTTTTGATGCAACATTTATTGATAAAGGTTTGTCTTGCCAGATATTTTTATATCGATCTACAACTTGTTCGTGCTCTTAACTCGCGAAAAAGGCTGCCTTCTTGCGAGATTGTAATTACTTTATTCCAATAGAGAGTGAGTATACATACATACATACATATATATATATATTGTAATTATATTATATTATTTTATATATTATTACAAGTATAGAGCTATGACAACTTGTCTTTTTGCTTTAGGTCGTAATGAGAAGCATGACGTAGTCCTCAAATGAAGTTAATGCAGCTGTTTGGATTTGTTCACTGTGTTTACTTAAAACCTGTAAAATGCATCAATAGAAAGAAATGCTTTGTAAATTAAATGTTTGTCAGTCTTCTCCGATCAAGTCTTCACATCATACGCGCGCATGTGACAGTGCTTCACCTAGGTCTATAATATAGATGGGTTTGTACTCTGTATATACATGAATTGTACTATAAAATGTATAATATTACTTGGAAAATTAGAAACAGTGCGCAAATAAACAAAAATATTATTTGAATAAAATTTGGAAGGGTTTTAGTATATGTTATCAATCGACGCATAAAGGTCCATTCACATCAGATCCGAAGCCAAATTCGGAGGACCGCGTTTTCCAGCGAAGTGCTGATGTATAATTTCGAAAACTCCGAACTAGTATATTTATTCTATATTTCAGATGCACATATAATATACTATAGGCCTTAGATGTAATGTTTTTCGTCGTGGCAAGCGATACCATACCGCTAAAGGTACAGTAAATTGCATTATCCAATAACATGCCGCCACTAGCGTGAAAACATCGTTAATGCAAGACTCGCCGTGAGTGTGCTTTCCTGTTGAGTTGTTAAAATGTTATATACAAAAGTGACATAAACGCGTCAAACTCGAGGAGTACAAAACAAAAGTCCATAATTGAGCAACTCGCCAAAAATGAACACAATAAATAAAATTTAAAATTTGACCTGACCTAATATGAAAGTATACACATACTTTTGAGCTTTTGGGAGTTTTGATTAGACTAAGTTTTTTAAAGAATTTATATCTTATCATTAAAAAGGATTAAATGTTAAAAGATTTGCTTCCAGTGTAATTGTGACCTTTTGAAATAAGTCGAAATCGAATAGGCCTACTCCATTAGTTATGTAACTAATAGTTACAGTTATGAATACAAATATTTTGCCTAAATTTTTAGTTACGATTTTGTTTAGTATTTTCTTTTTGCTTGGTAGGTTTATTTATTGGTAATCAGGGTGCACAATCACTGAGATGGTGGTGGCCATTGTTTCAAAAGTGAACCCAATAAAATTCAACCCAATAAAATCAATCCAAGAAATTTAATACGCCATCGTGTTGGGATTCATTAGTTTGACATTAAATATGACGTGTATTTTTTTAAGTTTTTTATTTGAGCAGGGAGTTGTTAGATAAACAACTCCCTACTTGAGTTATACTTTCACATCAAGCTGTTAGGCAAGATTTTTTCCTTGTTTCGCGAACTTATTTTTTTAAATATCATCAAAGGCTCATGTAAAATGTATAGGCCCATTAAATAAATGTATACTTTACTATTTTTCAGAGTGCATGTAAAATATGCCTATTTCAATACATGTAATATTTACACTATTTTAGAGGCAGGTAAAATATATATAAGTCCTTACTTCAGCATTACATGTCATGGCCTTTGATACCTCATTTCCATTTTCGATAATATTCTTGATTGGTCCGTTCAGTAGAAAAGCCAAAGTCAAAGTTAAAAGCGCAGCACGCCCCCTAGAGGTGCATAAAGTTGGTACCATTAGAGCTGCTATACACCTAGATCGAACTACCAAGAAAGAACAACAAAAATATTTTAATGTTTCCAATTTCCGCATAAAAAAGATTCAATTGTTTACCTATTTGTCATAGAACGATAACCGAAGATTGTTTAGGGGTTATGCATGGTCGTAAGCAGAAGGGAGAGGAGGGGTTAATACGGTACGGTATACTAAAAAGTGACCATTAAAGTTTTCATGGATTAAGAATTTAGTTTAGCATTCTCAATTTTCGCACCAGTCCCTGCTATGGTTAGCATACATGTTGTAAATAGTCCTAACTAAAATAATATATCTTGAATTATATAGAATGTTTGTTTGAAAGTATCCTTACCACTGAATGCTAGACTGAGAGCTATGAAAAATGTCGACGCTACAGTGATAATAACTGAAACTACTTCAGTGTAATACAGTCCGTAATGTAGGCCAATGAACAACACAGCACCGAGGAATATCGCTACGCATAACCCAATCACTCCTTTCATCTTTTTGTTTTCCTCCCGATCGCTTTTAAAAATATCGTTGAGTACCTCCCGACTGGCGGCTAAACTTCGTAAGGACATACTACTAGCACTCCGTCGACGTTTTCTTTTCTTTTCTCGTACATTTTCATACATGTACGACGAATCCGAATGTGAATCCTTATCCTTTGAAATGATAATGACCAGTAGTAATGATTAATAATAATGGACGTGATTTTTATAAATCAAAACAAACTTTTAGCCTTTCAGAAAATATACTTTTAAGTCCTCGAGATTTTTTAGAAAGGAATGGGAAAGGAATTACCGATTTAGTTTAGGTTGATTGAAGTATAAATATTTGAATTTCCTTTCACATAATAGGCATATCAATTGTAAACTTGTTAAATACAATACATCGGAATTATTTTTTAAAAGAAAGAAAACGCTTAAAATATATATAGTCATTCCCTTCAAATTATGATTACTTATAATCACTGTTCCCTGCTTATAATGTGTTTGATATTGTCGATTCCATTTTGAGTTTGATGAACAGTTTTTTTTTAAATAAAAACTTTAAGGTTAAATATTCACACTCACCGACGGATAGCAGATTGACGGAGTCCGTGCAATATCCGAAGTTTTACCATTTGGAAAACCAAGGGAGCTAATATCAGACATGTTACCATCCAGGAGGTCGGGCCTTGAGTCATTATGCTGAATATTCTGAAGCTCAAATTTTTCCGTACCACTATCGTCATCATCAAGTATCGCTTGTGAACGTTCTTTAAAAAAGTTTTTCTTTGGAATGCTAGAGGTGGAAGGAGGCAACGGTGTAGTAACTGGTGATGGTTGGAGATGTCGAGCAACTGGTGATTTCGATCTTGGACTTTTTGTTCCATCTTTATTTAAAAACAGCTTTTTCGTAGGTGTGACTGGCGATTCTTGTTTAGGTGAGTATGGAATCCAAGGCGGCTTACGTCGAGGAAACTGCGGGGAGAAATATCTGAGCGAGTGTACAGATGTAGCTGAGGTGGGCGTCAAACGCTGACTGTACCTCCTCTCCACCGGATTCATTTCTGCACAAATAAATTCCAATAATAAATGAGAAGGAAAACTTTATAACTAGCTGTGATTTATCCATTTCCATGTTGTGGAAGAAATAGTTTTAAATTATTTTCTTGCCACTTTAAGTACTAGACTTTTCTAAACCGTTGAATATCAAATTATTAGTTAAAATTTAATTTATTGAAAAACGTGCGAGGGAACGACGTCGTCATACAGAAACCTTTTGATTACGCCACCACATTTAATTGTAGTATATTTGTCTGTTAATTCGCATATGTGGTAATTACAAACATTTATTGTAATATGATTTATTTCCTTGTAAGGTACTCAATTTTAACGGAAACGTCATAAAAAACAACACTGTGACATTTCTGTACTACCTTAGTTAATCCTAATCTCGGATAGGAACAATATGTACGGTAGTCAAAATAATTGTGTCATTGTAATTCCAAACCAATTATACCACGCACATATTTGAACGAATATCCGGTTGGAGGATATGATTCTACCCGATATCATCATTGATAATAAAGATATTTCTTAGAATAAAACTTTATTATTTCTTTTTATAATGTAAATAAGTTTAATAAAATTCAAATTTCGGACGCCAAATACAGCAACATGGTAACAAACTTCTGGTGTCTTGAAATAATTTCATTTGGATCCAAATGTATAGTTATCTTTTTTGTTGATCAAAATACGAAAAACGAGGTGACGTCAGACCAAGCTGGACATAATACTGACAGCCCTCTAGAGAATGCGAACAGATCGTTTACTTATATTGGATTAACAAAAAGGAAGTGTCAAAACAATTTCTGAACGATGAGAATGGTACATAGTAATTTATTTTTTATTTTAACTATTATTTAATGAGGGTGAACAATCTAGCAGAAGCTGATCATTAGGGACCCACAACGATGATAATTGACATGGTGTCAGTGATTACAACTGATATAGTGCCATTGAGGGTATACATAATACAGTACAGTACAGTACAATACAAACAAACTGAATTTAAAATATTTTTTAAATAAACTCACTTGTAGGTGGCATTTCATCAGGGTTTGATAATAGAATTGCAGATTGTTTTTCAACTGAGGGAATACGAACAGGTGAGTTTTCTGAGACTGATGATGTTATTGACGTTGGTGATGGAGGTCTGGAGTAACTATCACAATCATACTCGCTTTCTGTAGGCAACTCCTCTCGGAACGGATTAAACTGCTCTCTTTCCTTGATACTACCATCAGATCTCCCAGTTGAACGACTGATGGAGCTTTTTAAAGATGATGATGTTGAGGGTGATTTCTTGAGCAAGATTTTTTTATCGGGTCGTGGAGAAAGTATCGGTGGTTTTCTTCTTGGTTGTGGTGTGTAGTAAGTTGGCTTCGGTAGTGCTCTGGTTGGTGTTGGTGTTAGTGAAATATTGCTTCTTTTTTCAACTGCTGGACGACTATACGGTAATTCTAGAAAAAAAATTACCGTATTTATAATTTTAATCCTCAAACAATTTTTATAATCTTTATCACTTGTAACCTGTTTCTGTTTGCTTTTTTCATCATATCATTTCTGTGCCCGATTTTTCTTCAAAGAGTCAAAGATTACCAGTACGGTTATTAGTGACACGAATGAGGTTGAGTTGGTTGTAATTTTGTCAAAATATCATAAAATTCACAATAAAAATCATTTTTCTGATAAGCAAGCGATCATATGAATTTTTTCAACGCAAACTTTGATTGTACAAACGTAAGTCCTGTCCAGACTATCAAATTGTATTTGAACAAAACATATGACATGCTCAAATATGGTCATTATAACCATAGGCTACATAGGCACATCATGACTGTGTATGGACACACAACAATTATATTTCAAAGAAAATTTTATAGTGTGGACAGGTCTTTAAAAAAAAGACAAAATCGGCATTCACATCCACTAACATGGGAGCAATAAAAAACTAACATCATCGGCAATCTTTTTAATTAAAATTGTTAATCTGAACTTCAAATTACTAAAAAAAATACATAGAAATATGCTGTATGTGGCGAGCAAATACATTTGAGGGGGAAAATGCAATTGGTTGGTTTTATGTAGTATTAAAGTTGTATTGTCCCCTGAAAATGACAAAAATACATACAATTAATTTGCTCATTTTGCAGTAGCTTATATACAATTTATTAATTGAGCAGAGAAATTAAAAGGTTAAAGGTTATTCATTTATATTATTGAATTTAACCCTAACTTTTATATTGGATACCGTAATCATTAATATAACAAAATACTTCCAGTGACTGGAAGTGTTTCTCTAATTTTTCGCTGTAAAATTATGGGGTAACCATTTTTATAATGCAATAATTTTAAGTTGATAGTTTCTATGTTACTTTAAAATGGAAGAAGTTAATTTGAAAAAAGATTTTTATGATTTTTTTTTAATGATTTTTTTTTGGTATTTTGTATAGAACAATACACCTTAAAATATTTCTAGCAGTACAGTCTTTGTCTAAATAAATACCATGCGTTCTACTTGACACAATGCAATTTTTTTTCTTGCAATTCATGCTCTGTGTTTCTGAATATCACGAGAAAGGCCGAGGAAACCCGTCCTGTATTGAAGTGGGACTTACTCATTCCTTTCTAGAAATAAGGGCGTCTAAATATTGTGCATCCCCGTTATGGAAAACATTCCTGTAATATTTTGTACAAATTTAAGCTTTCAAACATCATGCGTTTCACGATCATTCATCTGCTGTTGAACAAGCATTCCAAGCGTGCAAAACAGATAAATATAAGCATTCTTTCATCAGTGAGTCCATTATACCTATACGATTGTAGTAATCAGTGTCTATTGTAGTTTCATCCGATGGTGACTGAAGCCTGATAGGCTCAAGGTATCCGGACTCGGTCTCTGTGCTTCTAGCCTCCCGACTGGGCTTTCTGCTCAATTTCAACGGCCTGATCTTTACGGGTGGAGTATACAAACTGTGTGGATCTACTAAAGTGTTTTTCGGAAGTTGTAGATAAGCTAAAATCGGTAGGAAAAAATGTTTAATCAATTTAATTGAAGAGCAATGAAATCATTGCTGGATGCCATATTAGACTTACCTTAAATAGGCCTAAATGGACGAGTTTCAACTTATAGGCCATGCTACTGATAATTGCTTCATAAATCAAAAAACGAATTTATTCAGGGGAGGATCACAAAATAAATAAATATTTCTTAAATCTAAAAAACCCACAAATCATTAAAACAAACTTACAAATTTACTTAGGCGTAATCCAAAACGAATCAGAGGTGGAACAAGAAAATTATTTCTTAATTCAATGTAGGAGACAATCCTTTGCTGTCCAGTGGAAAAGTTTATCTGACAATGAAACTTTTCATTGGCTTACTTTTGTCACTGGATAAACAGGAAGAAATACAATGACAAATGAAATCGTTTCATCAGGTACCGGTGTTTAATTATGCGACAGTGATGGTCAGATATACGTCATGATGTTTCACAACTTTGTTGTGTAGACAATTTTTATTGGCCGTACATAATATTCGCAGTTTGTGCCGGCCGCAATTACAGAAAATGGTTGGAATCATACGTGATTTCAAAACCTTTCTTAAATTTTAGCCAACGCCTAAGTTGATAACAATAGTATTTTGTAATATACGTCTGCGTAAAGCCGGTGAGGGTTAACCTCTAGAGAGCCTTACATAGTGAAGTAAATCCAGGTTTGTCCCATGGCCTCACAGTATCGACTGTCCTGTAGAACACTTACACTTAAAGCAGTAGGCGTATATGAAGAAAATTAGGAAATTTATATTGAAGAACATTAAAACAATTCATCGTAGGACTATAATAAAGGAATGGTCACTTGGAGGTAATCTATCAAATTAATCAATGTCCACTGATAAAAAAAAAAAAGAAAACAAATCAATTTTGAAATTCTTTTTTTTTTTCTAGCATAAAAATTATCAGAGCTTGGAAGTTAGTGTATCATAAAACCCTGATTTATGTTGGAGTAATGATAGAAGTGATAGAGACACTTAGACACCTAAATGAAGTTTTTCTATTTTTTTTTATGTGGAGTAAAATTATGGTAAAAAATAACACTTTATATTGAAGTTGATAATTTTTATGTTAGGCCATAATACAAAATAAGTAAGTTATTTCAAACTCAACTTTTATGTTATTATTACTATTTTTTGACATTTTCAGGGACAAATACATATTTAAGATCTACTTTCTAATGACATATGACTATACTGGGTACTGATGGAAAAAATCTATCTCACTGTTGTTCTTTCTTTGGTAAATAAAAAAAATGAGCAAAGACAAAACTATAAAGATCAACAACAATTTTAAGGTACACTTTTATTTTGCAAGAGGTAATAAACATAAACAATAAATTCAATAATTCAATTGTTTACTTTGTGAACAAGTTATTAGCTTTGTAAACAAATTATTAGTTACCAATTTTCATCTCTAATTAACTTTTCTGGTGTGTCAATCAGACTTAATAACTGACCAATCAGAACATCGCTAAGAATACGTGCATGTCCCACACGGATGTCTTCACGTACGTTTACACTATTGGTTTGTGGGACCTTAATTTAATAGGCCCTATTGAATGAAATCATGTACATAGGTTTCATTCACGCAGAAATAGATATATCGGTATGTTTATGGAGATATTACTCGAGTATGGGCAATGAACCATCGATCCTTAGTTAGCTTGGGTAAATGACATCTCGGAGACAGGGCCCAAATCGTCAACTTCCGTAGGATTCTTGATCTATGTAATAATAACAACTTTACTAAATTAATTGCGTGCTCGGAGCTAAATTCAATTGATTAAGTAATTAATCTCACTATTTAAGGTAAACAGTCCAATGTCAATCATAAGTTGTCATATTTTTATTTAAATAGACAACTTTGTTGAACATTCCATGAAAGTGCGTTGACATTGCGTTGCCGCGTTACAGCCATGCTTTTAGGGTGTCGTCGGTGGAAATTTGTAATGGACATTGAATCAGGTCAGAGAGTGGCGACCACAATCAATTTTGTTATTGGTAGAATTCCCATTTCTACTTATTCTCTTGCATAGTAAGCCTAGGCCTATTTGTGAATTAGAATTCTCTTTTAGGACTATACTTAGTTTTATTTTTTACATTTTGTAAGAATTACATCTATTTACTTAGTTTTACTTACGGTATATGTTATAGGTCTAATTCTTCTTTTGTACTACGTTTGAAATTGTTAGAAAGGTTTTTTAAATACTTATTCTTTTCGAATTCGTTTCATATCTTTAGTTATTATATACGTCCAATTTCGTCTCATTTTTTTCGTTTCAGACCGATTTCTTTCCCAATTTCTCAATTAATGTTTAACTGTTCTGAAATCCAGTTTTCTTTACCATTAGTCTAAATAAAGAAGATACTAACTAATTAAAGAAAGGACGTAATATAATTACGTGTTGAATGTAAATGTTAATCGAATAACTTAATTTTTAAGTTATTCGATTAACATGTTGAAGCGAAGATGCACTTTATTGGCCTATGTTGTATCGGATAAGAACGATATTATCTACATTAATGATATTTCATGTTTAAAGATAGTTTATCTGTTAATGTTTTGCTAAATTGAAAGTATTTCTTTGCCAAAGAATCTTCGTTATATCATGTTGTTTTAGGCCCATAAATATAACCATATTATTTTTAGCAGTCTAGATCTAGCGCCCTCACTGGTTGGACTTTACAATAACTTTCCTTACCGATGTCGATTGAACCAACTTTACTCGGACACTCTGTCTATAACAACATGCCAGAGGAAGCTTTGTTTTGAATCATTTTGACGCTTCATTGTGCAAAACACTGTTACTCATTTATAGGTCTAAATTTAAATAAGGCAAGTAAGTGTATTTTTCCGATATGAAAATCCTTAGGGATACCATCTATGTGACCTTTAAGTGACATATGTCATCTATATGATATTTAAGTAAACATGTCAAAGATCTTTATAATATGCTTGGAACTTGTTCGTGGAATTAATTGTTGGTTATATGTCTGCTTACTGTGTTCCTTTTATTCAAAAGAATGTGTACATTGTTTAAGTACACAGGGAAAGTCCTCAAGTATGCAAAAGTACTGCAAAAACTGTACCGTCATGTAGGCCTACCGTAGCTCCAGTGGAATATTTCAACAAGTCTGCTCTACCTACTAGAGGTAATGTTTTGATTGGTTAAACACTTTTAGTACTTGTGCATAAGCTTGCAAATATGGATAATTTTTCATTCCTGATGATGACGTAATTAATGTCGAAATATTGAATCACAGCACGATGGCGTGCATTTTGATACTTGGAATATGTATTGTACTATTTTACTCTCCTACATCCCGATGACAGTTTTATGCTTCCGGGTATTTAGTATAAGCATTTGAACCCACAACAACAGGAACATTTTCAAGTTTTAAAACCGCATCACTCATTGACGACCACATCATTATCCTCAATCTTTATTAACCTGAAATGCATAGGCTTAGAATGCATTTGCTTGCATCCTGGTCTTGTGCCAAATATACATGATTAGCGTTGCATTATCCAGCGTTTTTCTTCTTAAAGTAGCCTAGATAAAAAGTGATGTGTCGTCATAGGAGGTTTTTATTTGATAAATGTCAATTGTTAATTTCCACTGATAGTGGACGAGTGTTGATGAAGCTTGTTTTTTTAACTTACCTTAATTATTAGCTTTTGCTTATCAATTTAGTATCGAAGCCGAGTAATGTTGTTTTTTAGAATTTGCCTTTTGATATACACATTATATATTATACGTAGGCCTACACGTTCTACATGGAAAGCAACAATATTATAATTATCCATACCCGTAAAAACAAATATTTGCTTGAATAAAAAAAATTTTCTCGTTTAATTATATTTATTAGTAATAATAATAATAATCAAAATGATGCGTCATTATTATTTTATTTCAAAAAGTATAAAAACTGCTTTTTACATATTCTGGGGCTTGAGTTTGTCCGTCTAACAAAGCTTATGATCAAAAATAAGTCGGAAGCTATAAAAGAGAAACTTAATTTCTCATCGGAAACGATATTTTTCAATCGTTAATTTCCTAATTATTCTTAGATAATTAACTTTGATTGCAGGAATTATGCAAGCTACAGACGCGTTTACAAGTTTTCTGTCCAAAACTTCCTTTTGACTAGATGACCAGGATAAGTAATCTCGACCCGCATGCTTGTTAAGAATGCAAACGTTTTTGGCCTCTCCGCCGATGGTTGGATATGATACATCACGTGCCTTCATTATAGTCCTATACGCGGGGCAGGCGGCACTTCGAAAGAATGACTTCTTGAATCAGGTAAAATTACATAGGATTTCGAAGATTAAATAGTGCAAATGATAGACATCAGGGTAGGCGAAAAAATCCTTAGTTAAAATTGTAGCTTTTTCAAAGTTTCAGCCTTGTAAATCCTATCGACAGAGGAAGTGACTTTAGCTGTTATTAATAGCAGTGCAATTCTAGTAGTTGACAGATGTGTGGCCAGCTGATGTAAAATAAGTAATTTGTGTTTCAAATTTTGCATGAAAACTTGCTGAAACTGTTTAAAGTTGTAGAACTATCAAATAAATTACTAATTTCCAATAATGCGCTTTAAAATATTTATATAGCCATTGACGTATTTTTTTTTTATACCTCCATGATATAGGATACAAAAAGTAAAATAATATAAATTCACGAGCGCAAACTGGTTATAGTTCTGGGTAAAGCCGACCAGGGGCGGGTCCAGAGATTTTCTGAAAGGGGGGGGGGGGCACAACATGAAGTTCACGCCGCCACGCCCACCTCAGCCCCGCCAATAAGTCGTAAATAATCGAGCTCTAATTTCGTCCACTGCTGTATCGCCACTGAACTCATGGGTGCACTCCCTTTTCAGCTCTTCCTCTATTGAACTCAAAGTTGTCACCCTCTTTTTCTTTTTCGGCTTGACTGACGGGAAGGAGGGCACGAGCCCTCATGTCCCCCCCCCTCCCCCACCACTGGATCCCTACCTGCCGACATATAAGGATTTCACAAGTAGGAGTATAACAGGAGTGTTGAATTACACCAAAGGTCTACCACTGCAGTTTTTAAGGCTCTCAGTGTTATCCATGATTACAATTGTCCAAGTTTAGCTGTCCGTGGTTAATCATTCTTGGTCTTTATAAACTCCTGTCAGAAACTGTATTACGGAAGTGATATCTACCTTCCTGATCGGCTTAGAACATTTCCTTATTACCACTGAATGCAGTGGCCTGGATGTGCCAAATACTGTTTTTGAGTTGTCACATTGTCCCTTAACAGTTGACACCATAATATATATA